TGGGGGGTATGCATATCCTGCAAATCGAGCTCCAAGGTGTCATGAAAGGAACAGAAAAATGGTGGCATTTTGTGTGTATATATTGGGAAGGTTAGCAAAGTCATAAAATTCTCTCTTGAATTTTGGTAGGTAGGTAGTTGGGTGCGTGGATGTAGATGTGTCGGTCACACCGTTGGGTCTTCTCTGCCTAAGATGGATTGTGTTGAGCTTAACTCGTAGTGCAAGTCTAAGCCCTGTTTGGGAGGAATTAGATTTTTCTACAGTAAATCAATTCTCATTTTCAATCACACATTTTTTAATAAAATAATATCTTCAATAAAATAATATTTTCTATCACATTAATAATATTTTCTTTTTTTTCAACCACACATTTTCCATCATATCACTATTCAAAATCAATTCTTCCCCCAAAAATCTCTCACAAACAAGCTCTAGTATTTTTCTCAAAATTAGCAAGAACTAAGAAAGTTTTAAAGAAACAATAGAATTTTAAGTCATTAAGTAATTGAAATTGTAGCATCTAAATAAAGTGTTGGTCAAGTTATATGTGTAGTAACCAGATTCGTGTTGTATGTCATGATGGACGAAATACATACGAAAACTATTTGTAGGGTTATAGTCCTCAATTCATATGCAATTTTCATTATTTGTGTCATCTAATCAATATAAAAATTCATAAAGAAAGCATATTGAATATGAAGTTTCAAAAACCCACAATCAAGAATCAAGATCAATTAATCAAAAATCAAGAAGAATTATTGAAATAATTAAATTGAAAAATAAGACAATTAAGATTAAAAGCAAGAAGATAAATCAAAGGGGGATTGCAAGTTGATTTTCAAAACAAAAAATTAAAGTTTCAAAATTCATTATTCAAGATACAAATCAATGGATCAAGATATATACAGCATTAATTATATTTTTTAATGATTTGACATGAAAATCTTGACAATTATATAAAGTTTAAGTTTTATAATTTATTGATACAACATTTTATATTGGCTTAAAAAGTAATAAAAAAAGATGGTTTAATTTTTGATTTTGGGCAAAATCCTAATTTCAAACCAAATTAGTTAGTTCTCATTTCGAGATTGTCCCATTTCAATTTTAGCTTCGTCAACCACACCGAAGTGTCCATTTCAAAATAGGTCCATTATATTTTGTCTATACTCCATTCCTCAGAGCATCTCTAATGATAGTGTAAAATAGATCTAAATAGTGATTTAGATCTCTAAATTTAATTTAAATCTAATTTTATACCACCGCTGAAAATGCCCTCACAATGGTCAATGCAATATGAAAACAGTTTTTTAGTATATTAAGTTCTTGTTTAATTTGGCTAAAAATCAAAATTTTAGTATTGTGATTGAAAATATGATAAAAACTTTTAAGTCTTACAAATGTATGGTAGACAATGAGTTAAGGTTTTAATTTTGACATTATTGTAATTACTCTCATCTTTTTCCGCCATCTTCTTCCTAACCCCAGTACTCTTTCCCCTCCCTATTGGATCCCATCATCCCCTCCCAATTAGTCAAAAACGACGGACACTAAGCGTTGTGTGTACTGACTCATAAAATGCTATATGTAGCTAATGCAAATAAAACTAAATCGACAATCAAAGTTTCGTAAAGGAATGAGAGCATACTACAATAAAG